TTTGGGATTTTTGGGGAAATTTGGGGTTGTGGGGAAAATTGGAAAAATTGGGGATTTGGGGAAATTTGGGCTCTGGGGGATTTGGGGGAAATTTGGGGAAAATTTGGAATTTGGGGGAAATTTGGGATCTGGATGATTTTGGGGGAAATTGGAGATTTGGGGAAAATTTGGGGATTTGGGGGGTTTGGGGAAAATTGGGATTTTTGGGGAAATTTGGGATCTGGGGATTTGGGGGAAATTTGGGAATTTTGGGGAAAATTTGGGGATTTTGAGAAAATTTGGGATCTGGGGAATCACAAAGTTGCTTCTTCCCAAAATTTGGGGTTTTCTGGGAATGTTAATCCCGAATTTTGGGATTTTTTTGGGATTCTTTTCCCAAATCTTGGGATTTTTTTGGGAAGTTTTTCCCAAATTTTGGGGGGGATTTCCTGGAATTTTATTTTTTTTTTTCCCCAAATTTTGGGGATTTCTGGGATGTTTTTCCCATCCCCCCCAAAAAAACCATCCTGGATTTTTTATTTTTTTTTTTCCACCTGGAAAAATCTTGGCTGAGGATCAGGAATTCCCATCCCAACGTTCAGGAATGAAAAAAAAAAAAAAAAATCAGAAATTTCAGGACAAAACTCAGAAAATTTGGGGATTTTGGGAACGACTCCAGGAGAATTATGGGATGGAAAAAATTTGGAAATTCCTGAGAATTCGGGATGGATTTCAAACTTTAAAATTAAAACTTCAAATTTAAAATTCCAAATTTTAAAGAATTCCTGATTTTTCCAAAGATTTTGTGGAAATTCCAAGGATTTTCCAAGTTTTTTCCTCCCACAGAAATCTCCTTTTTTTTTTTTTTTCCCCAATTTTTTTCCCAATTTTTTCCTTTTTTTTTTTTTTTTCTCCTTTCCTTCATTCCCAGGAATTATTTGGGATTTTCCTGCTGCTCAAAAAGGGAAAAAATTCCTTAAATTAAAGAAAATCCAAAAATTTTTCTGGAAATCTCCGATTTTTCCCCCCCAAAAAAATCAGCAAAGAGGGGAAAAGTCAGAAAATCCAGAAAAAAAATCCCAGTTTGGAATTCCCAGGAAAATCCCAAAATTGGGAATTTTGAGTTGTTTGGATCGATGGGAGCCTCAATTTTTTGGGGGGGGGAATTTTGGAGGAAAATGGGATTAAAAAATTGGGAAAAATGGGGGGAAAAAAAAATTTGAAATTCAGGTTTTTCCCCTTAAAATCTGGAATTTTTCCCAATTTTTGTGTCTCCCATTCCCAAATCTTGAAAGTGGGAGGAGAAATCCCAAAATTTGGGGATGGAAGCGGCGATTCCAGGTGGG